AATTGTACATAAACTCTTTCTAATTACCAAACAAGGACTAAATAAGGGGTAATACATTTCATTTAGTCTATTAATTTATTCAGGATGACCTGTGTGCCGCCGCACACTGTAAATTGTGAATCAATTTTATAGACCAGGACACATCTACACCGAAATGAGAAATCTGTGGTCTTATCTATAGGTTCACTTAATATACTGTCTTTCAGTTAAAAATTGTCAGTGGTATTATTACCAGCAGGGACTATACCCACTCCTATTCAACATAATATGTTGATTAAGTGGCCCAGGCACACAATCTGTGCTTTTGCTGAATTTTGATCCCGTCACCCAAATCCCACTTCCCTGCTCTCCAGGGAGGATCAACGATGAGGAGATCCACGCTGGACAAAGAATGAGTATTTGGTGTTGAGTGCTGGATATAAAATATGCGAGCATGACAGTGGAAAGGTCAGTCCCATGGAGAAGGGCGGGATAGAGAGGGTTTAGAAAGGCCATTATTTCCCTGTGGAAGCTGGGTGACAAAATCTAAGTTGAGAGCCGCTGAGTGGGCGCCAGGGGAAATACCAGGTTCGATCTCTGCTCCCTGGAAACACCCACAAGGCTTCGCTTTCACTCCACAAACATGGAAACTGAACTTGAATCTGTGACTGTCAAAATATTTCTACCATTTCTGCTTTGAAGAGGATCTTTTGCTATTAAGCAGTGCTCCGAACCCACATGCAGTATTTTCAGTTAAACAATAAAGACATGGGAAAAAAGTGGGAATAAAAGGAGAAGAAGAGACATACTTAAGAGCCTTTATCTGCTCAGGTTCTAGTCTGTCTGTTCAGTAGTTTACCTCAAATTTCTTGACGATGCTGGCGAAGGCCAAGTTGTTCCTGCAGCTCTCCTCCAGCAAGGACATGCTGCGATCATACTCTGAGATATAGGTGTCAAATACCCCAAAGTCCTCCCGACGTGACAGGATCACATCTACTACCCTTTGGCTCTCCTCCCTGCACAGAAAGGAAAATCAGAGATTACGTGCATGGCACATCTGGATCTTAAGTTATTAGAGAAACAAGCTCAGCTAATGTTAGCAGCAGCTCAGCTGGCAGGCCCTCCGGGACGTCCTTTGTCTGCAGAACAGTGTTGGAAAAACACTGAATTTTAAGACGCTGACTTCAATGACGTTGGTAAAGACAATGATTCCCAGAAATTACATATTTTAGTTTAAGAATGAAAAAAGTACACCACCAGGTTAGGATGGATTTTTTAAAGGACAGAAAAGTTGAATAATGTTAAAACCTCACAAAAAAACACTCAATGGTTAAAGAATGACCTCTGGAATTATTATATGCATTTTTAAGCAGGGTTGGGATAGTGTAGAGTAATTATTGTGACCTCAGACTAAAATGAATGATGACCACACTCTCTACTGTTTACTTTTCATCCATTCTGCATTAGTCTGTTTCAACTCTGTGTGTATTGTGTTACATTTGTGAAATACACTATATGAAAACTGTAGTCTACAATAATGGACCAGAGCATAAGCAACGGTAATATCCATGGTGTTACTTACCACAGACTGATGCGGTCCTCCAGCTCGGTAAGGATGCTGCTGTGGAGGGTGTAGACCTGGGGGAGCATGCCCAATATCTCCCCTAACCTCTGCTCCTCCAACACAGGCTCACCTCCCTCACCCTCCGCCTCTATCACTGCTGACCTAAACTCCTGCAGAGAGGAAAACAGGATTTGTGAGGAGAAGACAAAAGTGTGGGGCAAAAAACAGCGTAAAAGGGAGAGGAATGGAGGAAATGGTAGTTAGGGTGAAAGGAGGAAGGGAGGGAGAGCAGGAGAAATGAAAAGGCACTGAGGAATGAGGAATGAAGAAGGGGAGAAAAATGGAAGGAAGGAAGGTCAGATGCTCCTAAACATCCTTCCTGCCACCCTCCCTTCAAATCACCTCAGTGCCTTCCCGCCACTTTGGGTTCTGTCCAGGCATTCAGGAAAGGCGGCGCTGCTAGCACAAGAGTTACACACCAGGTGTTGTTGCATAATGACCTTGGTGCTCAATGACACAAAGCTGTTTTGTACATACTCCCCACTTTTCATTTCTCTGTAGACAAGAACCTAAAAACTCACTGATATACAATGAATTCGGGTCCATTGAAGTACATTCAGCACACATAAAACATAAGCAACAGGCATTAATAGCTGCGGTGTCAGTGACTAAGAGGACTAATATAAGGAGTTATGGCATATGGGAGTGAAAAAGCAGGGGAGAGGTGATTCATCTACTCAGCAAATGAAGACAAAAAACTAGATGAAAGTAGGGGAATCGTTAGGAGGTGTCAACATGCTTAAAAAAATCTCACTCTCCTCAGTGGGCAAAGCTGTCTGGCAAACATCATATATAAAGCCTCTGTGTGTCTGTAAGGGATAAGTGTCCGGAGCCCATCTATTCCAGTTCTAAGTAAAGCACAGACATAAAACAAACAGAGTTGTCCCAGTCGGCCGCAAGATAATGTAGTGACACTGGGTGCTTCAGAACATGCCGTTCATCATGCACAATCGATCGCATATGAGTTAACATTCATCACGCCTGCCGGGGAGAAGAACAGCTACTTTAACGGCTCTGGTTGACTCGGTCTCCCAGGTTACACACAAACACACGCACACTCAGATCCATGAATGTAAGGAGCTTTACTCTCCATTTCACTGGCCCACCTTATCCCTATTTTCCTCACGTAAGGCAGGTCAAGAAGCAACATTAAGCAGTTGGTTGAGCAGCCAGTCATGCTCGGTCATAACTCAGCACGGAGAATCTGTTCAGAGTTCACAGGTTACCACCAGCGAGAAAAAGTAATAACTCTGAGCTTCATATGTTGAAGCTGTTATAGGGAAAGTCTTTTAGAAGAAGAGCAGGGCCTCCCTTCCTATGTGGAGACAGGGTCTGGAAATTCTTTGTATTCTTGTTATTACTTATCAAACCATGGAACAATAGCTCATGTGTGCCTCTCACTTAACGCTGCTCCCCCCCCCCCCCCCCC